GGAAACCACTGCACTGTGACCGACCTGGAAATGCAGCTAATTTATGCAAGAAAGAAAGGGATAAGTGTTAACTGGGCAAGACTTATAATGGTGCATATGCTGAGAGTCGATGCAAAATCTAAATTTCTTCCATATGCTTATTTTGTTACTTTAATTATGGAAGAATTTGGAGTGGATTTTGCTGGTTTTGAAAAAGTGAATATGGATCCAAATCTGAATAAAATTTTCATCAAGAATGTTGACTCCAGGATGGGCGTGCATTACAATCTGGAAACAAAAACTATCACTTACATTGGTGAAGATATTGTTAGCGATGAAGGGAACGACCAAGAAGTCGAAGGCGATGAAGTTGTGCCTCCTCCATATACTGCTCCCTCTGGTCCAATCAATCAAGAGCTTATGGATTACATGTCTCAACAATTTTCTTCCATGAACACCAACATCAACAACCAGTGGAATGCGATCAATGATTCTACTACAACCCAGATTAATGACTTCCGCACAGATGTGAATCAACAATTTTCATACCTTTACTCTCATCTTCATATTCCACCATATGGTCCAAATAATCCAGCTGCACCTCCTCAACACTACACAAAACCTCCACTTCAACAACAATTCCCGAATCAAGGCTCTTGGTCCTATAACCACCCGGACATGCATCACCCTTGAAGTTCTGGCTGACTCTATTTTCTGTTATGTCCTTGTCTTGTTATTCAATGTTTTTTTTGTTAAATTTTTTGTGTAATTGTTAAACAATTTGTGTTGCTGGTTTAAATTCAAGTTTTTTTTTTTTATATATTGCTTTATTACTGTTTGTTTTGTGCATCTTTTCCTTCTTTTTGATAATGTCAAAGGAGGAGAAAGATGTGGTACTTTATGCTTGTATTTTTTCCTTGTCTTAATTTTTAAAGGTACTCTCCAACCAAGATAAAGAAATACAAAGGATTCCAACCTTCTCATATATAGGGAGAGTTTTGCATCTTAGGGGGAAAAGCTCTTTCCGAAGAGTAGAACACATAAAGCAAGATTGTTTGTCATCATCAAAAAGGGGGAGAATGTAAAATCAAGCTTCTCAAATGAACTTTTTGTTTTGATGAAGACAAACCATGATTGACAAAGAAGACAAAGATTTATGATCAAGCTCAAAGCATCTAAGGACAAAATCTTCAGTTCAAAGTTCTCAATAATTTTCAAGGTATAATGATATTATTTACTTTGATCTTAAGATATAGATGCTCAATGATGAATAAGAAATATTTTATAAATCATTACTCAAGTTTTTCAAAGTTAAAATTCTTTTTTCACTTGAGTGCAATCGATTTGCATTTTAGTGCAATCGATTGCATGCTTCAATTTTTCAGATCTTTTGCTTTTGTCTCTCTGTGCAATCGATTTACATTGCTTGTGAAATTGATTGCATACTTAAAATTTTCAAAACGTTTGCTTCTGTTTCTCAGTGCAATCGATTTACATTGCTTGTGCAATCAATTGCACTCACTTACTTTTGCTACTGACTTCACATGCAATCGATTTACATTGCTAGTGCAATCGATTGCACACTTAAAACTTTTGAAAAAATAGTTGTTGAAACCCTGTGCAATCGATTTACACAAAGGGTGCAATCGATTGCATGCTGCACGATTTTGAAAAATAGCAACTTTTCACATGCCTGTTCATAATACCTTTTCATTGAAACCTTTCACTCAATCTTGGCATTTGTTCATGATTCATTTTCAGAACTTCATGATGTTTCAAAAGGGTGTTATGAACATATAAATATTCATTTTCAACACCTCTTCCAAATATACTTTCTGAATTTTCAAAATACAAACTCAAGCACTTTTTCACTTTCATACATAAGTTTTCTGCATATTTTCATACATTGTTAAACATAAAACTTTGAGCAATTATATCTTGAGTCATTGTACAATAATATTATTGGAAGAGAAGATTATTCATTGTCAAATCACTCTAAGTGATTAATACTACTCAACTCACTCAAAATCAAACATTGATAGTTACTTACTTATTTTTCCAAGATTGTTGGAAATAAGTTTAAGTGTTTTTGAAATCTTGTCTTTCCAGGATTGTTGGATACAAGTGTAGTCACTTTGAGAGGATTGTTCTCATAGTTGAGTTAGTGAAAATCCAAGAGGATTGTTCTTAGCTTTTTGGTAGTTCTTGTCTAAGTTTGCCACAATAAGGAAATATCTTTCATGTTGAAAGGGGACTAGAGTACTCTCGGACTGTGAGGGGAGCCAGGATATATCGCCCGTGTCTCTTTATTTTTTTTGCACTTTACACTTTCCTAAACTCACCATTAACCAGAAAAATAATATTCATCATCACTAAAACCAGAATTTTTTAAAGTACCTAATTCACCCCACCCCCCCACCCCCCACCCCCTCTCTCTCTTAGGCGCACTTCGTACTTACAAGAGTTTGACTGATTGTTCATTGTTCATTGTCAATCACTCATTAGCTTTTAAGAAAAGATTGGATTATGTGTAATTGGAAGTGTGATCTTCTATTTTTGGTCTTTTGTTATTGTTATTGAGGTGATTGTGGGAAGTGAAAGAATTCCCATATCTATGAGGTTCCTATGTAGAAGTTGTAAAAGGTAGTGATTATGTGATAAGTTGTCAACTATGGTTGTTTAGCTTTGAACTAATATTATCATAGTGGATTTCCTTCCTGACTTGAATGCTTCAAGAGTAGGTGAGTTGCACCGAACTAGGTTAACAATTGATTATGTCTTTTACCTTCTACAATTTATTTCAGCATAATTTATTGTTTTTGTAAAAGCATTATGTCAGTAGATGATGTCTTAACATCTGTCTTGATATTGTGGTTTGGTGTTGAGACACCAGTCTTAACATCTAATTGAAAGTGTCTGAATTTCAACTTGTTTGTAGTATCCAACAAACTTTTGAACAAATGGATTAATTTTGTATCATCGATCTTTTAGTGTCATAAGTTTTCTCTCTTTGTAATTGATATCGTGATGTTAAATGTAAGATTCACCAATCCTCTTCAAAAAAATATCTCCTTTTATCAATCCCAACAATTGAATCCTTTGAAATGTTAAGTCTTGATTGAATGAGAATTTCATCCTCTTTTTGTTAGAACATTTGTTTAGGCGTATCACAACCGGTGTAAATGTAACATTTTCACCAAAGTTAATAGTTTCTAAGCTACCTTAAATGTAAAATTGTTGTGTTTCATGTTCTTGTTCATTTGATTGCACACCACTATTACCTATTTAAGCCTCATGAAGCATAGTGAGATTATTTTATTAAAATGTAAATTGTTGGTTTTAATATAGATAGATAAGGTGGTGTATGATATGAGTAATTTTCAAAGTACAGATTATTTTGTAGATTTGAAATAAAATGAGAGTTTTGAAAATTCACATTTGAATTATAGAATGAATTTAAGATAAAAGGTGGATTTTTAAAGTATGGGTTACCGAGGAGGAGTGCCGCCATTTTACATAGGATAACCGAGAATTTACCTTAGAATGATATTTTTCATAATATTACTATCACTAATAGCAAATACTCCCTTTGACCATTATTATAAACAAAGATTCTCTTTTTAAGATTATTGAATAATGAATATATATATATATATATATATATATATATATATATATATATATATATATATATATATATATATATATATATATATATATATATATATATATATATATATATATATATATATATATGTATGTATATATATGTATGTATATATATGTATATGTATGTATATATATGTATGTATATATATGTATGTATATATATGTATATATATGTATATATATGTATGTATATATATGTATATATATGTATGTATGTATATGTATGTATATATCTGTATGTATGTATATGTATGTATATATATGTATATATCTGTATGTATGTATATGTATGTATATATATGTATGTATGTATATGTATGTATATGTATGTATATATATGTATGTATGTATATGTATGTATGTATATGTATATATATGTATGTATGTATATGTATGTATATGTATGTATGTATATGTATGTATATGTATGTATGTATATGTATGTATGTATATGTATGTATGTATATGTATGTATGTATATGTATGTATGTATGTATATGTATGTATGTATATATATGTATGTATATGTATGTATGTATATGTATGTATATGTATGTATGTATATGTATGTATGTATATATATGTATGTATGTATATGTATGTATATGTATATATATATATATATATATATATATATATATATATATATATATATATATATATATATATATATATATATGATCTTTATATAGTTTAAATACATTCATTGTTCAATGAATCTAAAAAGATATAGTTCAGATACATTCATTGTTCAATGGATCTAAAAAGATAATTTTTAATGGAGTACTATTTTCGGATAATCATGATGCATTTTGGCAAGAGTATTTAACATTTTTAAGAACATTACTTCCAAAAGGAGTTTATAACAGACTCCTTTGGAGTATGACCTGTAACACTTTAATACATTACGTTTGAGGAAGGAGGATCATATACAACTGGTGATTTATAACAGGCTCCTTTGGATTATGACCTGTAACACTTAAATACATTAAGTTTGAGGAATGATGATCACATGTAACTAGTGATTTGTAACAGCAATAGTAAAGTAAACTTGGCAAATAATCACGTGGCAGACAGAATGAGTAAACTTTTGAGATGATTTTTCATTTCTGAAAGGGGTCACGTGAACAAAGAACCATCTTGTTGCTATACTAATAAGAGAATATTCAACTTCCAATAAAACATAACAACACAGTTTCTTCACTAAAGTGTTTTTACTTTCTTCTACAAGGCACATTCATATGAACATAATAAATAGTACTTGCTATAATCTTACACATGCAACCATAATAGACGCATAAAACAATCCTAAAACCATTACACCTAAGAAAACAGGAAACTGAAATTGCAAACTAAATCAAAGCATCAACCATTGAGCAATTAAGAAAGCGTCCGACTTTAGTTATGGCAAACCCGACTAGTTGTGATGTAGTAGCAGACTCTTCCTTTGCTCTGGCCAGATTCTCTTTGCAAAGAATTTCTTTCTCACATACTGCTTTCAGCTTCTCAGACAGTTCCTTCTTATGCGCTTCACATTCTTCTAACTCGAGCTCAGACTGTTCCACAAGTTTCCTATTCTTAGCTACTTTCTGTTTCAGATTGCTAGACTTCATAAGAAGCTCCTTTGCCTCCAGCACCTCAGTTAGACTCTTGTGCAGCCATTCAACTTCCACTTTCATATTTCTTAATCCATCTACCAGAGCAATCTTGTTTCTCAAAAAACTTTCTTTGATACTGCGAACATCTTTCTTTTCGAAATCCAGTATGATTCCACAGATAATCTCCAACAATTCTGATCTGTGTTTCACTGATCCCGTCACACAATTCTGAGCAATATCTCCATGTCTGTCTATTATTCTTCTTAATATTGGCCTGATTTCTAGCTTCACATGATATCCATTAACCAAGTCCTCAGGACGGCTCGGTACATCAGATTCAACCTCATCATCACCATTTTCATTTCCCATCATAGCAACCATTTCAGATAGTTTGGAGCTATATGATGGGATTGGATTATCACTTGTTATTTCATCTTCCAAAGTCTCGTGGATTCGCTCCAATGTTGGAGGATGAACAAATGCTACCAGTTTTCTTGAAGGGGATTCATTTTTATCAGAATCTTTTCCTAAACCTTGATACTCCTGCATCAAAATATCATAATACGTAGTGATTAGCAGATAAAAAACCAAGATAAAACAGATGTTACAGTATTTCATACCAAATCGATAGGCCAGGCCGGATTATCGACTAGTTGGATGACATCAGGAGCAGAAGAAGGCCCTCTTGACAAAGTTGTGATTCCATTTTGAATAGGCTTTGAAGCAGATCTTAAGGTGCTGAGGCGGCGGCGATTAGAAACCTCTTTAGAATTCTTAGTTGAATTCTTTCTAGCAGAAGTAGGGCAGTCCCAAGAATCTGACTGAAGAACATATACATAAAAGCAACAAGTTGAAAGTTGGGGTTTATACCAAGAATAGTGAAAATATATACTACATTTATGGTTTGTTGAACAGTATTGAAAAGCTAAAACCCTTTTACAGTAAAAATGAAAAGATAATGAGAATGACCCACAAAAAAAAAACATCAGATCCAGTATTGCATGCAAGGTTAACCACACTTCAAATACCATGCATGTATGAAAGTCTAGAACTAGAAGGTTAAACATGACATGGATTAAAGAAGCATATTAGGAAACAGAAAAGAGTTGAACAAGAAAGCTTTACCGTGTTGTTGAGATTGGTTGACTCAGATTGTGAAGCATTTTCAGGCTCATCGTAGTTTCTCCTTTTCTGCTTCCTTGCTCTCTTCTTCTTTGGTGCCATGGCTTGTTCTTGATAGTTCTCGAGGAGATAGAAATGAAGAGGTTTGTGTTGTGTGTATTCTTGACAAGAGAAAAATGAAGAGGTTTAAGTGTAAATTGAAGAAACCTAAATACATTTATTATTTTTTTATGGTCAGAATGGTTGGTAGTGTTATGATGTGATGTGAAATTGACTTGTAAGTGTGCCGGTATGATGATGGAGGAGAAAGTAAGTTGTAAATATGGGATGCACGCATTCAAGTGTTAAAGACAAAATCTACTTTCTCTCTCTTATTTTTACTAATTAATAATTATTACTAACTCTTTTTTTATTCTAAATTTTTCTGTTGGTTTTTTTTTATAACACGTGATTCTTTTATTATTTCTATAATTATTATGTATAGTTTATGCTAAATTATAATTTTGGTTCTTTTAATTTTTGCCGTGTTTATCAAATCAATCTCCCTATTTATATTTTAAATATTTTTAATCTTTTTATCTTTAAATTTGTTTCAAAAATCATTGATGTGTATTTTTTTAATATATAATTTTTTTTATGACACGATATAGCAAAAAATTTATTTTCTTTTGTCCGATCACTTTTTAATATAATTATTAATTAAAATAAAATTTATTAAAACAAATATGTTAATTTCATTAATAGGGATTAAACAAATTATTAAAGTAAAACTATTTCAAATGTTGAAACAAAAAAGAAAGAAAGACAAACGAATGAAAGGTGACGGTGCAATGAGAAATGGTGATGACTCGGTGACAAATGAAGTAAAATGCTGATTTTGAAACTCTTTTATTTCATGTAATACCACAAATTTCTTAATCTTTATCTAAAATTGCATCAAAGCATCAAATTGAAATCCTAACTTTCATTTCAATTGTAAGCATTGGTTGAATGTCTTTCTTTTATGGTGCACCCTCATAGGAAGACCCCAAATTTTGTTTTAAGTATGCTGATGTTTTACTCTGAACTATGCACTTTACATGAACTGATACATGAACTGAATATGTCATTTTATTGTAAAATACTACTGTGAAATGCTATTGTGAAATGATACACTATATTTTTTATTTTGGTTTGTTCTAGGCCAACTCAGACTAACTCATTAAGATTGAGAATTAATCATTGGGAACTTCACTTTATTGTCCTTGCAAGTTGTGTGTAGATATAAAGGTTGATGAAATGAGCTGGAAATGGGATGTGTATTGAATGTCATATATGGATATTGAGAGCATAATGAATAAATTGGGTTATATAAGAATCAAATGCACGTGGTATCAAAGTTTTTACTTGAATGTGGGCTTAGACCTCTTAACTATGATACATGTGTTTAGAAATTTGTGGAATACATGAATGATTCTAACTGTAATAATAAGAGGGGTTTCTAACATTTGACCTTAAGATTTTGATGATAACTTTATATGTTATCTTAGAAAACAATTGTATACACTAATGGTTTCATCTAATGTGTATTTGCTGCTATAATATTATGACTCTGGTACAAGACGTGTGACGTCATCAGGTTCTGAACATACACTCTGGAAGAAAAGATGTGGTTACATGTTTTGTTAAAGTTAAGGTTTCGAACTGATATTTTGCAACGTGTCTAAGGAGCGTTAGAACAAGAAGTTCTGATAGTAACTTTGTGGTTTAGTTTTGAAGGTCTTCTAAAGCTTTACTTTTATATTACAAGTTTTGAAGATTATGAAGATGAGGTTTTATTGAACAAGTTCTGATGATCTGAAGAACAACAAGTTCTTACAACTAAGTGTTGAAGACTCTGAAGACAAGGTTCTATGTGACAAGTTATGAAGACTCCAAGACTTAGGTTCTAAGGCTTAAGAAAGATTCTTCTACAACAAGCTTCAACGTTCAACATTCAAATATCTGAAGCCTTTGTAGATAAAGAACAAAAGTTCAAAATGGTTAACGTGTGATAGTGTATAAAAGGTACATAAAGTGATTGTGACCTCTACTCTTTTAGAGTGGCGCAAGGACAGCTCTTTTGTGCTTGAAAGTGACTACTCTCATTATTAACTTTTGAGAACCAACAACTAAATTTTCGATTTACCTTTCTACCCTTTCAATGAATCTCTTTTACAAGCTATTAAAGGAAAACTTGGAAGCTGAAGAAAAGTAATAAACTACACTACAACGACAAATCTACCAGTTCAAATAAAGCTTAACAAAACTACACCAAAGTGTTGCGCAAACTCTGTAGAGAAATCATTTGCGTATATTTTTATAAAAGCAAGGAGATATTGCTCGTATCTTGCATTAGAACACTTAGGTGTTATTCATTATATTGAAAAGTCTGTGTAATCTGCTTACAAGAAGCAAATTTATAATACACTGAAAGTACTCAATTGTTGTTGAATGATACTTTGAGAGATTGAGTAAAGGTCTGATCTCAAGAAGACTCCTACTGCGGCTTGAGTGAATTTACAGTAAGGATCGATAGACTTATTGGGGTACCAATAAGGTTGATCAAACTTATCGTAGGTTGTCATATAATCAATTTAATTATAGTGGATTAAGTCCTTGTTGAAGGTGAAGTCATCCTTGCGGGGGTGGACTGGAGTAGCTTAGTGTTTACCTAGGGTTTTGGTAAACAACCGCTGATCCTCCAAATGGTTACTTATTTGGTTACTCGCAGGATCGATCAGATTGATCCTAGGACATAGGTTGATTTTGAAGTTTGATTAAATTGGATAAGGCTTTAAATAAAGAGGCTTTAAATAAAATTGCATGAATAAAGGACTTGGTAAAATAAACAAGGCTTAAAGTAAAAGGCTTCGACAGGAATGTAAAGAGGAAAGCAAGTAAATTTCTGGAAGAGTAAATGACTTTGATTAATAAAGTTGGTGTTTCACACATACATTTCTCAACAATTCTTTCTCACACACTGGGTACTCGAATCTATATGAGTGACTATGTATAGAATTGTGAACACACGCGAGAACTTACATGACTACTACTATTTATACTAAAACATCCCAAGTAACCGTCAGGCAGTTACACTGCTTCGAGATGATTCCACTTGGCACGTTCTCCACGTTCGACGCTCCAGATCTTCGCACGTCACACTTGGTAACCGCTGGAAATCGTTTTCCCTCCAAACGCTTGAATTTCAAATTGCTCCACTCTGAACCATCGAACGCCTTCGTCGAGAAACATCTTCGACGAGAAACTCCTTCGACGTTGAAGGCAACCAACTTCTCCCTTGGAAGAAATTTCTTAAGTACTTTGCCATCTTTCGACGGGCATTTCGACAGACTTAGCCAGTCGAAAACATCCTTCAGCTTTAATGGCTGACATTAATAAAACAAGGGTGTCGAATTTAGGAGCCAACAAATTGCCCCCCAAGAATGCCTTATTTCGACTCTGAAAGAAAAAGGCATTCTTTGAAACGCCATTCGACACCGGTCCTTTCACGCTTAGTCACAAATTAACTTGTGCACTTTTTGTTGTTTTCTACCAACCATTGGCAATCCCAAGAAAACCATCATTTTTCCGTACCTAAGACGTCACCTCAGTACGGCGTGCAGTACCAAACGTCATTTCAGAATTTGTCATTATGACAATTCTCAAAAACGAGGACGCACGCTGCGTCTCTCTATTTCTGCAGAACGGCTGAAACAACAGGGGGATGCCACGCGTTCCACTATCTCCTGCAGCATTAAATGACATTTAATGTCCTCGGTTTTGGGGATTTTCCCCCACTACTATAAATAGCAGTAAGTACCCCATTGTGGGACTTTTTACACCATCTAGCCTTCAAACTTCTCTATTCTCATACAAGCTTGTTATCTTTGCAAAAACCTTTCCTTTTTCACTTCGTCTTCAACCTCACCATTAACAATGGCATCTGGCTCCAATGCTCCTAGCGCTACTGTACCATCTGGAAACGCCCAACCTAAGGTTTTCGTCACCGCTCCAGTAGTAATTGCTACGGGCCAACGAAGGGTCCCTGAACCCTTGGACATCGCCGTTCGTGATGCTTACTCACACCACCTTATGATCCCGGTTGGGTATTCCAACCAGATCTTTGCTATGTCTGGCCCCTTGTATCCAAGTATTTCTGAGGCCATGAAGATCAAGAGTTATTTTCCGGTAGTTGAGAAGCTCAAACCGGTTGCATGCGCCAAGAAAGATGCTGAAGACAATGAAGAGCCTGCAAAAGAGAAAATCGACCTTCGTTTCTTCAACAAAGGTGTTAGGGCTTTCAGGTCTGGCCCTAGCCTTACTCCTGATTACGTTGCTTGGCTGGAAAAGATGGAGAAATGCCAAGCTTCGATCTGGAAAAAGATGGGGATTTTCGACCTGGTGATGCTGTCGAAGACAGGTTTGAACTATTCTCCGGAGATGTTGATAGCTTCTCTGCTTTTCTGGGACTACTCCCACTTTACTTTCCATCTTCCCTGTGGGATGCTAACTCCCACACTCTTCGATGTGGCCGCTATCACTGGCCTTCGACCCACCGGGGACTACTTCGATCCGGAGGAGATGTCGGAGGACCAAATTGGATTCTCTGACACCAAACCAACATATACCACTTTCATCAACCACTATCACGACAGGTCGACAGATGCTGTGTCGGATGTCGAACACATAGCGTTTCTAGCCTTATGGCTGACTCGCTTCGTATTTTGCTCGAAGTCCCTACAAGTGACCAAGAAGATGGTCACTCTCGCCACTCAACTCCATCATGGCCAAAATGTCTGTTTGGCAGAATTGATCTTGGCTAGCCTCTATGATTCGATTAGTAATGGGGCAACTCTTCTAAAAATTATCGAGAACAGGGCCAGTTTGCTACTTGCTGGGCCTTTTTGGCTGCTCCAACTGTGGCTCAATGCCACTTTCGAATCTTTCTTGCCTAAGAAGGTTCAAATAAATGAGCAGGCTCCAGAGATAGCGAACAGACGCGTCGAAGGAACCAGGCTGGCTCTGTTGACGCCTATGGAAGATGGACTGGAGTTTCAGCAAACCTTCACCAACTTCGTTCT